AATTTTTTCATTATAAAATGACATTTTTATGAAATTGAATGTTGAACAATTTGAAATTTGAGCATTTATATATCAGTTTAGTTTTTGATTTTATCATAAATTCATATCCGTAAATATTTCAAATTGTAACAAGTGTGACAAAAATCAAATATCAAATCAAGAAATAATTAAAATTTCATGAAAAATCATCATTTTTATCCTACATTATGCTGCCTTATAATATTTTTTATTTTAGACTCGCATAGGTAAATTTATTACTTTTAGCTTCAGTCATAAATGCTAAAACAATATGGATTTTGTTGCTTTTTATTTAGCATTGAATATATAAAAAGTTTGACTTGTAAAACACATGATTTATTGTATTTAAGATGTATGTGAATATAAGTACAAATTCTGACAAAATGAAATATGAATTTTTTTGGTTCTAAAATTATGATGACAAAATATTATTATTATTTATATTTTGAATTGAATTTGAAATTTTTGGATATATGTATTATACTTACAATTTATTAATATGAATGAACGAAGACAAGAGATAATTAGTTTACACAGACGATTTACTACATGAATATACATCAGGTCTTGTTTCAATAATGAATATTTATATGAAATTAGTGTTATCAAAACTAGTTTTGTCAATGTCATGGAGAAAATTACACAAATAATAAAAAAAAATTAAAGTATTAAATATTTAAAAATTTCAAGAATAATTTTGTGAGTTTCAAAGTGAAAATCAAATATTTATACATAATTAAGATTATTTCATGATTTTCAATTATCTATCATATTATATAGCAATATTGTGAAATGTGTTCAAACTGAATGCTTAAATAGAAAAAAGATTGAAAATAAATAACTTATTCTCAATCAATAATTCAAAAAATTTCATAAGTTTATGGATTCACGTGCAATTTTCAAGAATTATTTGGTTTAAGCACAGCCCCGAGAACATTTACCAAGATATGAAGTGATGTTTCATTGATCATCAACTTTATTCTGTCAAAGTTTATGCAAATAATATAATACAATAGAATCTCGCGAGAAGCGGAAGTTTGTCATCTTTGTCATGTACATATTGAACTATGAGCGTAGCGTATGTTTTGTCAAAATTGATTATCATCACAATAAGTAATATCTATGCTGCTAGTAACTATCAATAACATCATCAAATACATTGTTTAATGCTCAAAATATATAGTTCTAACTGAATATTGTCATGATCTAAATGCCTTTAGACATAGATAAAAGCTGACTTAACAGATAATTACATTGTACATGTAACTCGGATAATATAGTCTTCAAGTTTCTCATTTGTTTAATGAACTTGCTCATTCTTTGCATCATAATGGATTATAAGCCATTTCAAAAACCAAATCCACATATTTTAAAATGGAGATTTTATTAATAATATATAATCTATAACAAAATGTATAAAATCAACCCAATGTTAAAAACAACCCTACAATGATTGTTGTCATGACGGTTAAAATTGAAACAATGTCTTATCATTTATATCATCTAGGCATATTACAACGTTTATTCATATATGCATCCACAATTTTACAATATTTAAAAAGTCTCCTGTGCCTTTCTTGTTTTCATCAAGACAAAAGAATCTAAGAGGAGATTTCTAATTAAAGACATAGATTAGAAACTATAAAATGATTTGAGAAGGAGCGGATGACATGATTATCTTCGAGGATGAGTACACTAACTTTGAATTTGAACAAAACCTCTTCAATGTGGGCTTTCAAAAGTGGGAATTGGTAATTAGATCTATGGGATCCAAAATGTCAGATTATAACTCATTCATTCAATGAACAAATAAATTATACTAAATATTTATTCTTGGGCTATCAATAATCACATCTCTATATAACAACCTAAATCATAAATAATAACGGTAGTAAACGATATAAATTATCTACATTTATTTTATGGCCTAATCTAATAACCTTTACATCCTCAACATTATTTTAATATTATATCATTAATAAAGGAAGTCAACACCACGTTGGTAATTTTCCAAGCACGTCGAAATCCTCAAGAATATTTTTTAATGATGCAAGAAAATACAAAGCATATTAGTAAAGCATGTTAGTTTCAAAGCAAACGTCCACAATACATCTCTCGAGGCATGAAATATTTCAGACTCCTGCCATGGACGTTCTTGTGGAAATGGAGGCCAGAACATTTGACATGGTTGGTCGAAGTCGGACAACAGAGGGTCGTTTTAGGGAATTCTGACAGTACGTAAGGGTATTTGAGACGACATTCAATCCACAATCGAAGCACATCATTATATGAGTAAGCCGATGGTCCTGTGATGAAAAATTTCAATCGTCAATCACGTCATCGCGGGACTGTTACAATCCACCCGTCCCATCCCAACCGCAAGGACCCGCATGGATCAGTATTCTTATAAGCGTTGGAGAGTACAAAGCTTCTTCGACGACGTTGTTATATCGTTGAGTGTTGTACATCAAACGCCAGCCCATTTCTCAAACACCTAACGCTGAAAGTCTGCGTTTCCTTTCAGTTCCTCGAGCCTTCAGCTGTAACATCTGAAGTTCTGAATGCACATCTCTACCGACTTGCATGTGTATTTGATTTCAATAAAAGTAACTCCTCCCACCTCTTCAAAATGATTGAACATCCGACCGTATGGCGATCGGGCTAGTAATAAGCAGAAATCTGCCAAAGAGTTGGGCCAAATCCCGAATAAACGAAAGCTAAAAGGCGCTGTTTGATGAGCCTACAGAGCACCATGTAATTGGCTAGGTAAAGTCCGACAAGCCAACGACGTCTGGGCCGTCCATTGAGCAACAGCTCAATGGACGGCCCACTTACATATTTCTTCCCTTATCAGACCTTCGGATTTGACTCGTAAGACTGCTCCGAGATTGGTAAGAAACTACTAGAGCATACAAGAAGTAAGAAAAGCTTGACATTTCTCTGGAAATTTATTTGAAACTCCAGAAGGCGCTTCCCAGCAGCACCTTGGAATCCTACGAGGAACCAGAGGCAGTTTCTCAGTGTCCTCGAACCCGATGCACTTTATTCTCTTTGCCAGAAAAAAAAGTCTTGTGCGACGCCATCAGATTGTCCAGTGCAAAAAGGGTAACATGGGGCTACCTCCCGATAAATTCGCATTGGACTCTGTGAAAGGTACCAGAAATGTTAGTATGTACAACGCAACACTCTTTGGGGCTACCTCCCGATGAATTCGCAATGGTCACTTTGTAAAAAGGTACCAGAAATGTCAGTATGTACAACACAACACTCTTAGGGCACGTTGCTACTAGTTGCCTCGTCTATTTCTGAATTTTTCGTTGCTTCCTAGGCCTCTTAATTTGGTGTTCTCTGCATCCTAAAGAAAACACCAAATTAAGATGCCTAAGAAGAACTGGATTTTTCTTCAGGAAAAAATTCCAATGAATGTCGCAGATTATGTTAAATGTTTAAATTTGGAATACATCGTTACGTACAGCGTCTCCGCGCACCTTGCTAGAACGAACAGTCAAGAGAACTTTCTTATCGAGTTGATTGACCATCTCTCAACGTGCTCTTGGCCAAATTTTTGTTTTCGCAAATAGGAACCCCGGATCTACAAATGCTGTTACCCTCAGTAATCAGTGGGCGTGGCCAAATCTTTTTGCTTTCTTTTCCTTGAAAGTGCATATGGTACCAGTTATTTTGATAATGAGAATAGAACTTTGTTGGGTAATATAGGCTGGTTGACCATCTCTTACCGTGCTATTGGCCAAAATGTTTTTTTTTCCAAACAGGAACCACTCATATACAAATGCTGTTGCCCCCAGAAATTAGAAGGCGGCGCCAAATCTTTTTGCTTTCTTTTCCTTGAAAGTGCATATGGTACCAGTTATTTTGATAATGAGAATAGAACTTTGTTGGGTAATATAGGCTGGTTGACCATCTCTTACCGTGCTATTGGCCAAAATGTTTTTTTTCCAAACAGGAACCACTCATATACAAATGCTGTTGCCCCCAGAAATTAGAAGGCGGCGCCAAATCTTTTTGCTTCTGTATCCTTGACAGTGCCTAGGTACCAGTTACTTTGATCACATGAATAGCACACTGCGAATAGGCAAACAAGAAACAATCAAAACGTGCTTCAAAGACTTTCTTCTAGGGGGCAGCCACAGCCGGCGGACGTTCGGATCACAGTTTCTCTGCAGTTTCTCTGCAATCATGGCCTCGTAGACTCTCAGAGTGGCATACGGTCGGGGTTGTTCTAGCCTGCAGTCTTCTAGGGGGCAGCCACAGTCGGCGGACGTTTGGATCACAGTTTCTGCAGTTGTAATCATGGCCTCGTAGACTCTTAGAGTGTGTATTTGCGAACCGATTGTCACCTTATGCGTCAGGAACAGGAACAGATGTAGCGGTAGAGCTTTCTTCACATGCAATAGAAAGACAAACAATTCCTATTTTTGGCACGCGAATGTATAAGGACAGGTCAAGGATCAAGGGCCTGTTTAAACATCGGCATCTGGCGGAGTTCACGATCCCAGGCTCCGGGTAAATAGATACGCGCCTGGCTACGAACTCAGTCCAAGGGTCATGAAACTGATCCAGGACCATCCGAACATGTTTTGGCGGTGGCTTGCATTGATTCGCTTACTGTCGACGACCAGGACGAAGTTCGACCACTTCCTCCAAGACATTCCCTGATTTAGCTAGCTATGATGGAGACTTCGCACGACGTTGTACTTTGAGCTGACATGCCAGTCGTTTTTCCTGACGTGCAGTAAAAAAGTTCATCATAGATTCATACTTAACAGATTGTTTTATCCTTCAATTCACTTGAATTACACGTGCAGTATCAGTGACAGATTGTTTTATCCTTCAATTTCCAATTCACTTGAATTACACGTGCAGTATCAGTGGCATCGGCAGGAGGCTCGTGGAATCTTTCCAGAATGCTGGGGATGGGGAGAGCTGGTATAAAACGGAGTCACTGCCCCGACTTCTACAGCACGTACCACCATTTGAGATCAGACTCGGCCTCAGCCATGACTTCGAAACAAGTGCCTCACTTCCAGGCTGAGAATCCAATGAAGTCTGCTCAGCTATTCATGACGAAGGGAACCGGAGCGATGAGTTACGCTGAGAACTCAAACTGGCATGCAATGTGTATGGAGAAGATATGGCCGACAGTGTTGGAATTGGTTGATTCGATGAAGCTGCCGGATGACGACATGTCTATCATCACAATTGCGGATTTGGGCTGCGCCCCCGGCCGTAATACGATCAACAATGTGGAGACAGTCCTGAAGAGGGTGAAGGAACGATATCGGAATGGACACATTCCAGAGTTTCAAGCCTTTTTCCAAGATTTGTACGACACCGACTTCAACACACTGTTTCAGCTGTTCAAGAACTCGGTAGCGACAATCGCAGAAAACGTACCAGAGACCTTGAAGTACTTTCCAGCTGGGGTTCCTGGATCATTTTACGGAAGGGTCTTTCCTCGCTCCAGTGTACACTTTGTTATGTCAACGTTTGCTTTGCATTGGATTTCCAAGGTACCTCTCTTCTCCTTCCTTGCTCTCATACCAAGCGCTGTTGAATTTACTGTTACTGTACAGTCGCATTCTCTTTCCATTCGCATCCCTTGTAAAGTAGACATTTTTCGACTTTCTCTTTGCTGAACTTTCGGCAGCCGTGTGGAATCAACATCTTTTGACAGTGTACAAGAGCTATTTGTATACGATTCCGAAGTACGCACGTTTGTGTTCGTCGTATCAGGTTCCAGGCGTCATTGATAGAATAGTTAGTATGGAGCCTGCAGTCCGTACGCAATCCAAATTTTGAGATTTTTTAGAAAATTTTTCCATGCAGTCCGACGTACAAAATAATGAAATGAGAACTATAAAAAAAGTCCGTAGGATGTAGCCTAGCTATGATTCATGCTATCTATCACATGTCTAAGTGTTATGATCTACGACTCGCTCGACGGCTGTAGAGGTATTGAGTAGCTGAGTGTTTCAATAACAAACTCAATTATAAAATACTTTTCTGTATCGATCGAGTGAGTAGAACTTGTAAGTCAAGCGTCGACGCTGACTAAAATTGCTTTCAGGTCCCTTCGTCAGTTCTTGACAAAACCTCCGAAGATTACAATGGTGGAAAAATAGAACATGAGCGTGCAAGCCGCGCCACCATAGACGCTTACGCTCGGCAAGGCGATGTAGATCTACGGAACTTTCTGGATGCTCGGGTGGAAGAAATGGCAACCGGTGGTTTGATGCTTCTGGTGTTCGGTGTACGTAAGGTCTACTATCCGTATTGCAACACGATGGTCAACGAAGTCAAGGAGAGAATCTGGGACGAACTTGTCTCTGAGGTAATCCTTATGATCATAGAGCTTTTTTTCAAGATTCATTCGTATGCTTTGGTCCTCGCCAGATGCCCTTCACGTCAAGGAAAGTTACGATAGGAAGAATTTCTCCTCTGCAATGTGGAAAGCAGTCGCACTCTCATTTCTGCGATCTGTGTTGGAGCCGGTGTTCCTCATTAATCCATCTTTGTGAACAACGTTACTTATTCTTCTGAATTTTGCACGTCGCCTTTTCGGCAAGTATGTAAGTAGTGATCGTGCTATTGCTCTGCCGAGGTATGACATGCCGAAGCCGGCGATATGACTGCTCTCCAGTGACAAGCCTGCGCTCATTACGTGCCTGACACTAGATTTTATGTTTGTGAAGGGAAAAGTGGACTCTGGGTTGCGAGGCAGTTTCAACAACTTCATGCACTTCCACTATCTCAAAGACGTAGAACAAATCCTAAACAGCTACAGTGAGAAGCTCATTGTCGAGAAGGAGTACGTGTTTCCCTTCTTTCTGTACCCGCAAAATATGACAGCTCGGGAAAAAGCAGCAAGGCATGCTTCCTTAAATCGCGGCCTTTACACGAGTATGCTGGAGGATCATTTTGGGGAGGACATAACGAATTTGTACATCGCAAGGTACGAGCAAGCCCTCCTGGAGGGGTTCGAAAGTGGAACTCTTACGGAGGATGAAACGAACACGTATCAGTTCGTTGCCATAGTTGCCAGGAAATTATAACATATAGACCCCGAAGTGTTACAGTCAGAGTAAAAGGTTAACACCGAATCAAAGTACTAGGAGTATATAAAAGCTAAATCCGGCATAGTTAGATCATCTTGCATACGATTGTCTCATCTGTAACTGTTAGTGAAGTATCAATTGTACACTTTCAAACAATGAAAAGTACAATAAAATTGTGAATAGGCAAAATATTGACCGATTGTACTCTCTTCTCTTGCTCTTAGTTTAGAACCTTCTCTCAACAGAAGAGAAGAAAGCATACGTCTTATAAAGCATTCAACTGCAATCTTATATAATAGAATTCGTTCCTAACTTGGTATCAATGACTGGATGTTGAGAAAGACATTGTTTCGTATTTGCACTGCAAAAAAACGTCGACGTTGAGGGACTTTGAAGGGCAGAGAAGATCAAGGAAGGTGACAGTCTGAGATTGTCCAATAAATGAAACGTCCAAGCCGCAATAGGGATTGAATGCATTGAAGACGGTAGTGAGAACAGTGAAGTGAAGCTTGTCGCTGTCTTCGTCTTCTCCTCTCTTTATTTCCTTTGTAGCTAGCGCAGACCTAGCTCAAGTGTGGACGAGAAGGTACATGAAGTCAACCAAATTCATCACGAAGGAGTTTGATTTTGACAAATATAGAATGCATGGCAAAACGACTGTGAAAAGAACTCTGTCATGTCAGCTCCACGGTTTTAGTGGGCGTAAAGATCTTAGTCTTATTGGTCATCAATTTTGTCCTGAAGTCTAAAAAACTCAAAACAACTCTGATGACAGCTGCAACACCATGACAGTTGGTTTCAAAATTCCAAGCTTTTCGGCAACGAAGTGCCGTCGAGCACTGAATCCCGATTCATGTTCAGACCCGATTCATGTAAGATTTGGACCTCATTCTGTCCAAAACATGGATCTAGACCATTATGATTTTCTGGAATTAACCCGAAAAAGAACGGTGTCATGTTGATAGCTCCGGTACCTCATCCGTCTTCTCTTGCAAGACCGACAAAGTAGGATTATTCTAGAAAAGAAGTTGGGAAGACCCCTTAAGCCTTACAAGGAAGGAACCGAACAACATACCACGGGTACGCCAATGGTATCCGGGTAGTAGGGTTTGGGGTTAAATCCTAATCTTGTCTCCGGGTTAGTAATTTGTAGTATGATAATGAAAAATACATACAAAGTATGAAGATTGAAGGTTCAGGCTCTAGAATATTTTGCATCACTTAGTCTAATATGTAGAAATGACTATTGCTTAAAAAATAACTACTATTTTAAGAAGGGAGCCGCTAACCACCACTCACCCTGTCTATATAGAACCCCTAGGCTCGTTTTCGAGGCCTGTGATGGGCTGGAACCATTCAATATTATCATTAAAAAATAATTTGCCGCCGCCAGAAAACAATTTTTGTATTAAATATTATTTGAACTATTGTCTATCTATCTTCTTCAATATCAGAGAGATGCGGGAGGTTGCTGGCAACGTCGAGCATTGTGACCAGACTGACGTCACCTTCCACATCTTCTTTGGGGTCTCACAGGGTGAGTGGTGGTTAGCCAAAGGTGAGTGCTGGTTACCGGTTCCCTTTAAGAAATAGAAATATGTTGATTAGATATGTTACATAATAATCTAGAGATAGTGATAATCTTTCTAGTTACTATCACATATCATCTCACAATCTTTCATGAATATGCTAAAATCAACTTCCATAGATCTTTAAAAAAAAATTTGAAGTAGTATTACGTAACTTCTTTAATTATACATACAACAACCTAACTATAAGATGCTGTATGTAATTGAGATGTTTAAGATGCTGAACTCATATGAAGATGAGTCAAGCAGCTTTAAACTTTGTGACAATGAATATATTGTAATAGTGAATCACTATTGACATGAATTTGCCAATTGTTGTTTCTTTCAACATTCTGATTTTGAAATTACCACTATTGATACATTGAAGCAATTTTCAAGCAAATAATGATGAATGATGATGATTTTGCAACCTTGTTATTTTCAAATGATACACTTGTCAATTGCATGACAAGCCAAAACAATGACATTTTTTCAGAAGATCCAACAATTTAGTATTAATATTTTTAGAAGAACTATGATGCAATTGAAATATAGAATGCACAATGTTTATGTAATATTTTATGATTGTTGATAATATTTTATTTTGATGAAGATTTGAATTTGAGATTCAATGCTTAATTTTAATAAAAAAAATTGCACTTTTGTATTAGGAAATATGATAGATATGCATGATTAATATAAAAAACTTTATCTTGAAAATTTTGAATAAAGTTAAAATATAAAATTTCTATCATGAATTATTTTTAATTTTATATGAAGAATGCTTACAATCAATATCTACATTGCAGAATATGTTGCAAATTTTGCAAGTTTCAAGGTTTCTTCAACAAGTGTATCACCACTTATTGTTGAACATAGATTGAAATCTTTGATAATTGAATTAGATGCAAGGTTTTTACTTGACATGGATTTGTAATTAAATCCATTCAAAATTTTGTGCAAATATACAAATATATTTAAAACCTTTCATTAGTTAGAGATAATAACTGTAACATAAATTGATGTTTACAAGCATTTAAACAAATTATAACTGATGAGAATGAATAGGCTGAACGGCAACTGATTATATTAACAAAATTTCTTCAATCTCATGTTTTACGTTTTTATCATTCCAATTTTTTTAAATAATAGATTACGGATATAATTACACATCAATTACATCAAATAGCTCTTGATTCATTCTCATCAGTTATGATTTGTTTAAATGCATGTAAACACAAACTTCTGTTACAGTGATTATCTCTAACTAATGAAAAGTTTTATATATATTTGTATATCTGCAGAAAACTCTCAATGGATTTAATTACAAAGCCATGTCAAGTAAAAAACTTGCATCTAGTTTAATTCTCGAAGATTTCAATCTATGTTCAACACTAAGCAGATTAAATTAGTTTCATTAATTATTTTTAATTAAAGTGAATAATCATCAATTGATCTAAAAAATAAAAACATGATTAATCCAAATAAATAATGTTAGTTTCATAGCTATATTTATCCATTAATTAACACTTTTAACTCATAAAAAGTAAAAATAGGTAGTTCAACACTTAAGAAAATTTGAAAAAAGATTCACAAAGATGTATGACGGCTGAATATAAAATCAAAAGATGATGTATTATCAATGAAATTGATTCTGCTGAATAATATAGAATTAAATTTTCTTAGAAGAATCAGTTTTGTAGAGTATAAATCAAAAGCGAGCCTATTGTTTAGTAAAAAAAGGAAGCCTTATTTATCTACAATGAAAATTTTATAATCTGGAATCATTTTGGTACTATTTTTCATTTTGAAGAAAACATATTATTGAAAAAAATAACAATGACATTTTGGTTTAAGACATTTCTCAAAAACAATTAATTCGTTAAATCATTTCATCTTGTTGAAAAATGTAAGCATCAAAATCATTTCAATTGTCAAAATCTGAAATTACTAACATCTTTGATGATATTGTCATTAAATTTTATTTCTTAATAAAATTTGAGGTAAAATTTTTTCTTTGATTTTAAATGTATCAAATTTTTGATTGTATAAACATTATGGATAACAAATTATCAATGAAATAAATAACTAATCAGTCATATAATGATAACAATATAATTTACATATGTATTGTGCAGTAAAATATGATTTGTGTATCATCAAAAAACTATTAAAAATGAATAAAAATTTATATCTAAATTCAATCTAGGAAAACTTAAGTGTATCAAAGGCAAATATTGTGCTTTGATAAATATGTGTTATATTTTAACGAGGAGTGGAACTATTTCAATGGTGAATTAAGAGCTATAGCTTTGCATTATACAACTCATTGAAGTTTTTGAAAGGCCCAACCATTCAAATCAATTAGCACGCAAGACAGTCACGACATCGAAATAACATGGTTTATATTTCACACGCTACGTCCTCATGCAAGAGTAAAAACTTCACTAAAGCATATGTGTGATCACGGCCTCCATAGCCAAGCTCTACTCCTTTCTATTCACTCTCTTAGTGCAATCCTAAACTATACGTAGTGAATTTTTCCTTCTCTCTTATATACAAGAAGAGATAAGGTGCACATCTTAGTCAACCTAACCACAGTTAATTTCCGTAACCATGATTATCACTAACTGGAGTTAATCCAAGATAGAGCTAACATAACAAACTCCCCCTTGACTCAAGTCCTAGAGAGATAACTAATGTAATCCACATGAAAATTCTAGAAAGTAAAGCTAAATCACGTATTTCCTCAATAGTTGAAAGTTATCTAGTACTAAACCATAGCGAGAAAAAAATCAGATGAAGAATACATGTATAAAAGTTACTAGACTAATCATTGCTATGCAAAATTTGCAACTTTGCACAATGCTTGGAAAAACTTTCAAATGAAATTGCTTTGGTCAATGCGTCGGCAAGGTTGAGCTTACCATCAATTTTGATGAGCTTAAATGCAGTATCAGACATTGCTTGTCTGATTTAATGATATCAGATATCAATGTGCTTTACCCTACCATCCATCACACTGTTTGATGCTAGATGAAGTGCACTCTAGCTGTCACAGTAAAGATTCACATCATAGTATGACAATCTCAACCAAATTGCCTACTTCGCTGCTTCCGCTGGTGCAACATACTTAGCTTCTATGGACGACTGAGAAATGCTTTTAAAAGTGTAGATCTCCAACTTATGCATCCACCAGCAAGAATGAAAACATACGTAGTTTGTTGATTTCCGCTTATTGAGATCTTCTCCATAATCAGCATCAACATATCCCAAAAGCGAATTTGCATTATTTGATTGTGCATCAAACAATAATCAAGTATCAAGAGAATACTTTATATATCTCATTATCTACTTCACCATTTACCAATGCTCTCGTCCCAGATTTGACATGTAGCTACTCAGCTTTCAAACTGCATATGCATGTCTAGTGCGTACCATTGGATACAAAATGCTACCAATTGCACCTTCATAAGGAATAGTAGACATCACTCCTTTTGCAGTTGCGTTAGTTGGACATAAGATTACCGAAAGCTTAAAGTGTGCAGCTAATTGTAACACTAGGATTTTGAAAGAGGTTCATTCGAAGATAGAAACGTAAACTCTGAAGATAAGAGATACCAACAA